ATGCCTGATTCCGCACCAGAGGAATACAAGAAACTTGCCGAGCGGTGTTGTGATGCTGACCCTGATAAGCGTCCAGAGAATGGACGGACACTTTGGGGTTATATTGCCGAGCTTTTTGAAGAGGAAATTTTAAATTCTGACATATGGAATGCCGTTTATCATAATAATGTAAGACCTTTGTCACGTCTTGAGAAGGAGAGTAAATACTCCAGTAAGCTCTTACCTACTGGAGAATTACCTAAACCAAGAAATAGCTATGATTTGGATTCAGCCGCAGGTATGCAGTTATATGTCAATACAAATGAAGTCAATTTACAATGTTAACACTGTCCATTTCTTATAATTTAGAAACTCAACCTCTTTTTTGAATTCATGGGTTTATACGAGTTTTATTCAAGGGTTTACTATTAAATACGATATGCTTCCACGTAATGTCAATATGATTAAGTTAACAAGGTTTCGAAACAAATCGCGCACGTTTACTATTAACAGTCTTTGATCATTTGAATATGTAAGAAAATATAGAGTACATTATTTATTACAAAGCAAATATTGAGAACCAATTATCTAAAGTTTATGAAACTGGTAATGAGTTTGATAATAATCGCTTCTGAATACTTACATTCGAGCTCGGCTCACCTGGCGGTGAAGCTTCACTATCAACTTGATAGTTATTATTTTTCAGTGGACAATTAGTTTTGGTAAGAAAAGCGTCATTGTTGTAAGATTTTCTTGCATCGTGATTGGACATTGGATAATGGTATTTAAAACCTTGATAGACGCGATAGCGCAAGCAGAAATATGACCCCCCTGTAAGAACTAAAACGTGAGTGATGAATCGTCAATCCACTCATATCCCTCAAAGATCTATCGCCACTCATTACGATATAGCCTTAACGGCCCGTAACAATGCAAGTTTAGCAACATCTAACAAAGCAAGTGTGCTAACATGCCAAGATTATATCAACCGTGCGAAACTGATTCGCCCATTCCTAACTTCTGGCCGAGAGTCTGAGCAAACACTGGCTAGTTGCACAATAATAACACTCATAATGCAATGATTGTTCTTGGGTTAAGGTCTTTTTCAATAATTTGTTCGATGTCGCGGATCGAAGTGGTATATCATCATCTGCTCGTAGTCCACCTGCAATATTTTCTAATCTGCTCTTGCATTCGAAACGTTCCATGTTAAAGTAACGGCTGTAAGACTTACAGTGTGGAATAGTACATATCTCCACCAATTTTAGGTCGATTTAAACGATGTAAACTGTAAAATAAAGAAATTTATTCATTTTGAACTGCTAATTTATAGGTATTTTGCACTAATCCTATTTCTCAAATTCCTTCAACTTTCCTAAAACTTCATCGAGAAACATCAATTAGAACGATGACTTCCAGACAAGAGACAAATAGCCAAGCTATACAACAATTATGGAATCAAGGCATTCGGGATTCATAAACGCAAGGTTATCCCACAGTATGGTTTATGATAACATTAAAAAAACTTGAACAACCTGGAACCGTTAACCCTAACCCTAAAGGATCCAACAAAGCTCTTTGCTTCTGCATAAGAGATAAGATGATTTTATACTGTTTTTCCCGAAATATAGTGGTCAACAATTTTATGTAGACATACTCCGAAGACAGCTTGATGACTTGTTAGGAGACGAATGTGGCGTTTTCAACAAGACAACATGCTATTCGCCTCGCATAAAACGTTCTTCGGGATACATGCCTGTGGCCTTCTAACAGCCCTGACCTAAATCCAGTAGAGAATCTCTTGAGTATTGTTAAACGAAATGTAGAAAAGAAATGCCGAGAAATATTAGATTATGGGATGATATTCCAAATTGGGTTAGTACGATCAATGAAACGTGTAACAGTGAACGCATTCCATGCTAATTTTTTTTTGCGATGTGTAATTTTGTAATTCCGGATTTTTTTGGTATATACAGTATACCGTATGTTAAAAAGGTGTTGGGCGTAGTAGTAGAATTATTAAAGGATAGAGCATGTGCGAAAGATGATCCTCCATCAAAGAAAAAAGCTAGAATAGAGGAATATTGTTCGAAAAAATAGGATGTATATTACATAGACGTCATGTAGCTCCCGACTTTTGTAATTTTTTTTTTACATGGTGTATCACAATACTATTAATAAAAATAATATTAGCACTTTGGGATATACCTTTTATGTTTTACATGATGGAGAGTATGGTCAGTGACGCTTCACATAGGTTGATCGCAGAATGATCGCAGGGATAAACATACGATTACGGGGTAAAGATCTATATTGGGTATGGATTGAAAGGCGCTGGAGTTAAAGTATGGTTTGAGAGTAGTTCAAGAACTCTTAGTAATCGTTACAGGACGTTCACATGTATGGTTAAAAAAATCACTATTAAAAACATCGATCATCTGCAGATATAGAGTTGTACTCGGGTTGACGTGTAGGTACTTATAAAAAGCATTCCATATCCCGCCATACAAAAACCAATTTTTTCCAGGGTGAATAGCCTTTCGATTATTTGGAAAATGGTCGACTGGACCGATGCACAAACCCGTATCCTTATCAACGAGCGTAGAAATAGGAACGAAGAATATCATAACTTGGGAAAAGTATTGCGACTAGAATACTCCCTTGATCCATTGATCTGCGGGAGATAACCTATCCTTTTTTGAAAAATCCAGTTTGCTTACTCTAATAGCTTTTCTTTTTTCGAATGAATATGAGAAAAAGGGTATTAATAGTCTACTTAATCGCAGGCGAATCTTAAAATCTCACTTTCCACATTACCTCCAATGATTAGGTGATGTGTGAATATATGAATGGAAGTCGAACAGCTCGAAGGAGTCGAAATATTTTGAGGAGTCATTTTTGGGAAAATCCTGAAGATCCTTTTGATAGGATTCGCAATATGAATATCTCTAATTGTAGACGAGGCAGAGGAATTGTTTCGCCTGCACCTTCTATTGAAGTGGTTGAACAGGTACTAGGCCAAAGAACATCTAGTCGGAGAAGTCGGAGCCGACGCAATCAAAGAAGTCGTACGCGTTCGGAATCATCATCTCGTAATGAAGATGGTAATACAGGAAACCCAGCCAGAGGAGGGAATAACACGACAACTTCATCTGTTCAACCACCATCTTATGAAGCTTCTACTAGCAATCAGCAATCATCTAATAGTGCGGAGGGGATACAAATGGTATCGGGTAATATTATGAGGAATGTCTCTAGATTATGCACAGCGCCTTCGGTTAAATATATTTGAAAATTAATAAAGTATTCTTCAGGAGGAAGAGATTTAACCTTTATCTATAAGCAAAAATAGTATCATCATGTAAAATTATGCGCACAGTAGTTGTATTAAAATCACGTAACTAATATTTCGAAATTGATCCAAATTAATTGTATTAAACCAACAATAAGTAATATACGGCATTTACATAAGCTAAATATATATGTATGCATGAAGACATTATTCTTGATTCGCAGTGAATAAAAAAAAGATGTTGAAATTAAGCCTTTTTTTGCTACCGGTTATATAATGTCGCAAGTCTAAAGTGAATCCGTTGAGAATTCGAGATCTAAAAGAACGCGGATTATTTCGACAATATTATTTTCATTAATTTGATACCACGTTAAAGTTTGATCGATAGGATCAATTAAGATACCTTCCTAGAAAATAATAACTATAATAATTAATAGCAATAGAAGAATAAACATAAACAACATATAAACAATGATTGATCACTTACATCTACCCCAGAATCCATATAAACTAACATTTTATTGACAATATTCCCAAGTATCATTATCTGAACGTATTTCCGCAACGAAATTTGGAGCGACTGGTGGAAACCCTCCCTCCCTCCATGTGATCGGGACCAACGCACACACTTTTGATCACGGAAAGATAAGAGTATTATGTCTTCATAAAGCAAATTCTCGGGTTTTTAATCTATGGAAGAATAAGGAGAGAATTAACAAAAGACAAACAATCAAGATAAAGCTCAATGTAAGAATTACCGCAATGTACGACATGACGATCGCTCTGATATCCATAAGTAAGCTGGTGTCTCGATGTCTGAAGTAATTTATTCAGAGTCTCCAAACCCATCTTCTGTACTTCTACGTAGCAACCTTTAGCACTATGTGAAGCTGCAGTTGCATGCGCTCAAATCCAATACGATATTGCCAAGGTTATAAGTGATTGGCTGTTGTTACCAAATGAAATACTGTATTACTGAATCCCAAAAAAATTAGAAGAGGTTCGTGCACGCAATCAAACGAGGCATATTGAGTAGGGAGACGAAGCGTAATTTTTATTCTCGTCCAGTTTCTAAAGATTGATCCAGGGCATTGGATTTACCGCTAGATACGGTAAATTGTATAAAGAAACTAGAACAATCATCATGATCACCCACATTTCCTTGTAAAACAATTAGTTGTGCTGATTGATATCATTATTTTCATTCTTTTCGTGGTAAAGTCTACTGGCATTCACATAAAGCACCATCATCCAAAACCTTGATTTCTCAAACAATTTCCTAACTTGTATATAATCACTCAGGAGGATGAACGCGCGTTATTATCATGTACACCCCTTCAGTTATATTCCCAACCTCAGTTATATCCCACTCCTATCCTTATCCCCACAAATCATGCCATTTCTATATATTAATATATATTCGTGCGAGATAAGTCGATCATTTGCTTCATTTGGTTAGGCGACGACGCAATAAAATCAGGCCACAAAATCAGGTCATAAATAAAATCGGGTCATAAAACCAGGCGATAAATAAACATAATAAATTAGAATATAAATTATGCTATACATTATTTAGAAATAAATGCAATTAAGCGCTTAGATGAAGCAGTAGAAAGGTCAAAACGTCAGACGTCACTAATGGAATTTATTAACCAATAAAAATATTATCTATTGAAATCCTGGGTCCCAAAGTGGGGATATAAACAACGTGTGACTGTACGATAAATATTAGAAAATACATCTCCCTAACACAATTCACCGAAAATGAATATAGTCACCCAAATCAGAGTTATTTTCGCGAATCTAATCCGTTTGCGAATTATGGACGTTATAATCTGGATGCATCCGAAATTGAGGTTAACCCAGAAGAGTCTGAGAAACCTGACCGGTGATAATGGATTACGCAAAAGACTAAATCTACGTGAACATTTATTACAAGAGATTTTTAAAGTTGTTATAATCACGAACGTTAGTTTCATGTTTTTCCTAATTGAACAAAGCAACACGTGGACGGTTACTAACCCTCGTAACAAATACAAAATATAGTTAATCAATCAACATAACTTTATAACTAGTCATCATTGCGGCAATCAAAAGGAAACGAGAACACGATTACCAATGACCAGTCTAGTGAAAAACTCACCGTTGACCGGATAGCGCGCTTGTAATTATTTGCATGATCGCTGATCCTCATAGGCGCAGGCCGCATATAGTATATATAGCCTTGAAAGTGATTGCCAATTATTCCCATCTTGTTATTTCATGTGATAGAACAACATACGTTCTGATAGACTGGCCAATGCAATTTAAGTTTTATTGATCAAAGCTCATAAATAGTGATTTTCAGACAAGGTTGGAACCAATCCGACAGCAGTTCATACTTTGGGCAAGTTGCATGATCGCTGATTCATGTTTCCAAAGTAAAAAAAAGTGCCTATAAACACATCCGGCATGTTAGCAAATCACGAACTAGTCTAAAGGTACGAACACTGCTCTCTAATTGATATTTATATCATTTATTTGTGGTCATCTAGGTTTCCATACAAATTTGCCTCAAATTCTTTGCATATGTACACTGACTGTGAGATGGTATGCCAATAATCCCTTTGTATACAACTCACAGCTTTGGTCTTCAACATTATTCATTGCAATTCATGTTGTTTCACGAATAAAATTTCACCCAGAATATTTACTCAATATCAAAGATTCTTATCTCAATAAATACAAAGGAGGAGGAAGCACTCCTGATAGGTTAGATAAGAATCCATCCCAATACCCAATACAATAAATGATAATAACGAATATGTAAATATTAACGAAATGCAATAACTACAACCGAAATATATGTATATTTTCGAATAAATAGTTCTAGAGTGCGTAATGATTACTCGGATGCAGACAACTCGTCTTTAGAGTGTAATGGAGCTGTTAACAATGTGGCAACGTAAATCGTAAAGGTAAAATTAGTGTTATTGACTCTAAAAACACCTAGCATAAGAATTAAGTAAGATAGGAGATAAAACTTACTCTCGTCTATAAGAACAACGCTATCTTCACTTTGCAATGTGTCTGTACCTATAAATTCATATCCTACCAGAATATGGTAAAAACATGGTCAGATAAACGGGTGTCTCTTCCAGTAACCAAACTTTTTTTTTTCCCATTTCCCCACAAATAATTGCATCAACTTACCCTCTTCACTTTCGACCTTTTCTTCCGCTCCTCCTTCTCCGCCGCCATCTCTGGTTTCATTGTCTTCCGCCTCTTCCGCCACCTCCGCCTCTTCCGCTTCTTCCACCTCTTCTCCATCTTTATGCTCATTATCTTTGTCTTTCTCCTCCTCCTCTGCTCCCCCATCCTCTCCCTCATCCTTTCCATCCTCGCCATCCTCCCCATCACCTCCTTCATCCGCATCTTCCTCTTCCTTTATAATATCCTCAGGCTTGAGATCAAACGACAGTTCGAGTGAGGATTCTGTAGTCAAGGTCTCTTCCAGAACACTCTTGGCAAAGTTACGGAACAAATCTTCGCTGGCTTCCTTGTCATGGCCTTCGGTCTCTAGCTCCGATTCAGTTGGTTTTGGTGCGACTGATTTTTGATTGACAGGTAAAGATTTAAGGAAGACGAATGATATAAGTTCGGCCCTGCCAAAAATAACTAATCACTTGATTTCATATCATTACCTTTAACGACCACTTCAGCCGGTGGAGGTATATTCACAATGGCATCAATGTCTTCCCCCTCATCTAGGAAATAGAAAAGCATAAGTTTTATGTTAAATTTGGCAAGTAAGCGAGTGTTGTCCGCACGTCTTATACCTTCAACGATGTCGTTCTCTTTGCCAGCATCCCGCAGGTTTCGGTGGGTGCGTTCTTTATGTAACTGCTCGGCCTTTTCGATAAGTCTCCCTACGGCAGGGTCTGTCTTCTGTCGTCTGTGTGCAGCCGCTTATATATCACACAACATTGGTTTATGTTAGTATTACTATACTAATAAGCTGTTGTAAAACTTTTTGTTACAGTAAAAGACACAAGCCAAGTCAAATATGAGCAGATAATTCGGATAGACAGATAAAGACTATCTTTCTTACATATGGCTGCTCTCTCTTTGAGCCAATTTTTGGAGCCAGCGTCGTTAGATGTGTCTGCCATTAAGGGATTGTTTGAATCGCTAAATTCACAATAACTTCTTTGGGGGATTTATATTGAAATGTAACAAAATGTCACACACGTTCACTAGTAAGTAGTACAATACTGTTTCTACTGCAAACAACGAAAATTTACTTTACGTTAAATAAAGATAAACAAATCTATTTATGGCACTATTGTTTGTTGCACTGGATTCGATGACGTCTTTGGAGATACCGTCATAAATTTTTAATTTGTTTATGTCAAATTATGCTAGACTTCCTAAAAAGGCATTAACCGGTATATTCGTACTGTACTTCAAGTAAGAGTTATCCCAGCTTCTATGTCTATCAATCATTCTCAGGTCCAAAGTCAGTTTCCATTACCTGCATTTGCCAGCACGGCGAATGCCCGCCTTGACCCTTATCGAGTATGACAGATTATTCATTCTTTGCATAACGTTATCTTGTGTACGCCGAAACATAGTAAAACCGTGTCACGAATATTGATACGCGGATTTTCTTTGGATACGGATTTTCACAAAAAGATCTCCGTTTACATGATGCAAGGGTATTGTCATAGCGTTTGTGGTAATACTATTTTGTGCTCTATCGGTAAGTATTGTGAACAAAGTTGATTTAGAATCTAAGAGGAATTTTCCATTCTCAGTAATTCATTCAATCTTTAGTAACGCCATAAATCGATAGCATTAGATAAGCAAGTAGATGTTTTTAGATAATACCACGTTTTATATGCAAAGACAAGTTGATAATGTGTTATGTTTGCGTTAGGGACGGCCTTGCCTAATACTAAACGTCACTTTAATTAAGGTAACTAGTTTCTGCATGATTCTGCATGGCAAGAAACAAATTCATGCTCGTGTGTCAATTTTTAACTTAGATGGCCCCTTGTCGAACCATTCTTTCCCCAAAATTTCTTTCATCCAATCTCTCCCCGGAATCGAGGCCGCAGAACTGCAGATTTCTGAATATGAGCTTGGTACTAAAAAATATCCCAGACTCACTATATGCGGTGTAACAGATTCGGCCGCGCTTATTGAATCAGTCGTTTATATAATATTTAAATATGGTTAATTGCTTATTGATCAAAGGCTGTTTCTTTGAATTGTAAACCGTGCTTTTGCACCGTCTGCTGACAAACTTTATGAATGTCAACCTTAAACCTTTTTGTAATACTATCACATGCGACAAGAACTATTACGGTAAATAGTATCATGTCAAATATATTGCGCAAACTGATTAATTTATAGCGAACGTGACTTGCGACTAACAATTAGTGTTGGAGTCAAAAACTATTATTTACAACAGATACTGTACTGTATAGTATTACGTTATCGGTATACGGATTTGTATCATGTGATAAGTCATAATAGTAATGTAGTGTTTTCTCAAATCACCTTCCACCATCTACTTGCTAAATTTACATAAAAATAAACTAATTATAATAGTCATGGGACATATTGATATTTAGTATTAGTGGCACTTTGACCTAAAACTTCGATTTCTGTGCTTTTATGACGTGCGTCAACTTTACTTAGAGCCGAAAAATAGCCATCTTGCTATATAAAAACCCAGATTAACTAACAGTTACGCTCGATTAAGACCAGTATTGTATGTTTTCGGATAGCATTTCAAAATATCTTATTGCTAAAAAGCTGCTTTGCTTATAACTTTTGAGCGTTTGTTTTTTAGCTGGTGCTGCCGTACCTATTCTTACAGACTACGTTTACTGGTGTTAGACCGCTTAAATGTGTAAGTATTGACATGCTGTAATAATAAGACTTACTATAGACGTTATTCATATCAATTAATGTTTTCCGAGCCAAGCATACAACATTAAAGTATTGACATTAATACCATTCCAGGTACGAGGCCATGCTAGGTAAAGCAATACAGCAAGGAAATATGTATCATGCTTGCATAGACGAGTTATCGACGTATTAGTATTGTTAACAAGATTGTCATTTTTATTATTATGTTTAAGTTGCATGATGCCTGCTGTGTCGTTAGTTGAATACGTCCCATGCAGTTAGTGACCTCGTCAGTTCAAGGTTTTCCACTTACGAACTATTTCATCGTAGAATGACGCTAATCCTGGATATATTAATTGTACTCCTGAGTATGTCTATCGGTTACTATCGTGGGATAAAGTCGATAGTCTCCCGTCTGGGGTACAATGGTGTATAAATCATAATAACGCGCATTTACATAACAATTAATTATCATAATTTGCCACTCGAATAATCGCGGGACAAGAGGCGATTATTCTTCATCGATATAGGGATTAGCGGTTTCTCAGCTATACCGATAAGTTACCAGGGAATGAATCATTAACAATGTATTTCAGAGTATAAAGAACTACTCATTTATTTACAATAAAGGAATCGAGAGTAATTAGATGCTAAACATGCACTTATTGACTGACTTCTATCTAACTGAAATCTACTCTACTTATATATCTTTCGAGCAGACTAATGATCTATTCTTAGCAGCTTTTTCAATTATGACTTTTGCGGCACTGCTGCAGTGGTGCTTGTGCACACATAACTATATATTCTCGTATGACTTGCACTGCTTACCTGTTACTGCGCCGTCGGAGAAATGCAGAAATTTAGGAGAGATACGTCACTGTTTATAGCGTGGCATCACAGTTCAAACGATTTATGGATTGATATAGGAGAGACGACAGGCATTAAAACATAAGAGTCATAGAACGGTTCCTGAAACGATTTTTTATATAGTTGATCATTGACATTTTTAGTAACAATTTCCCCTTTTGATGCGTACTTGTGTCCCCACCATACTACTGTAAATAGTAATAGGCAATAGACACAAAGTTAGATGCGAGATCACGAGACACGAAAAATTCGATGCTTCTTTTCGAAAAACCTCTCTGAATTGTTTCGGACAAATCCCCGGGTAAAAGTAATTCAAATGGATATGTATGTTTTCCGGCGGATAAGAGGCGATATTGTATCGATTTTGGATTTGATTTATGAAGGAGATGGAATATAATACGGAATGTCTTCTGAACAGATCAACGCCATTGTTGTACTTGTGTGTTGGAAGTGAGTATATTCTAGCAAATTCACTCACAAGTGTTTGTGTAAACTCTTCGCCACTTCCAAGGCATAGCAGCATTATCGTTGTCTCACTATTCACTGCGTAGTAGACGTTGTCAATTTGAGTTGACTTTATTTCGGTAATTTCAGAGTTAGAAATCCATTTTTTACTACTAGTTGCGACCAAGTTGTTAATCGCTGGGTTTTGAATATCTGGAACTAACGACATAGTTTTGAATGAAAAAGGGTTCGAACTATTTTAGATAAGATTGTGTTACATCGAACATTTACTTCCGTTTGTTGTTTTTTCGAAAATAATCTCGCGACGAAGTTTAACCACTCATTACTCGGCAAAATATAATAGAAGTATTATTATTTCTTCCTACAATGAGCATAGTTTCTTCCGTTACAGCTAGACGCTGTATAATATTAACAGCAACTTTAGTAGTCGAATAAGCGTTTCTTATCTCCAATGCTGGGTTGTAAGCACCTTTTTTTCGGTTCAAGATTTCTTTTAAGCTAAGTTTCTAGAGCAACGAGATTGGAGGTATAACTTGGTAGGCAGGTGAGCGAAAGAACCGAGGACTGTTTAGCTTGTCTTGCTCCATTTATCATTTTTGAAGGTAGTGAATAATTAAAAAAAAAACAAAAAAAACAATAAAATGTAGAGGCTGTAAAGTACGATGGCATTTGTCTTATTATACTCGAATCATTTTAGATCGCGTTGTTTCCTGAATTCTAAATAAGAATTTGTCATAAAGCATAAATAGCCAAGATAAAGATAATATTTACTACATATGATATAATCAAAGCGTTTGAAAATAAAACATACCAATACACGAGAAGTTATAAATATAGAGGTTTCTCCTAAATTCTTGAAAATTATTCATCGCGAGCTGCAAAAGTTCACTAATAATGGTATCTTAAACTCTCCAACTTTGAATATACAGACCAATTGTATTGCGTCTGCCATGTTATACTTGAGATGCGACTTCCTGACAAAACATTGGTTTACCGCATCCAGCTTTACATATTGGACACAAAGGATTCTGTGACTGTTGCTCTAACCACTGACCTCTTCGTTTTATTTTTTAATAGATACTCTTAATCGAAATTCTAGCTACAAATTAAATAGTTATCTAGAAATATTAATTCTTTCAATGATTTAAATATGGATTTTGTAATTTTATAGTATTGGATTCCAATATGTAGGTTCTTTTTCGCAGTTAATACATAGTAATAGGTAATTTTTCGAATTTCTATAAAATTCGGTTAAAACTATTCCTTCTTGATCACATGTTTGTATAAATTGTGATTAAAATCAATGAGTATGGATATATTCTGTTAAATCTTTCAGCCATGCATATTTCACTGATATATTAATGTTAAACTGATTCCACATGGCAACTTCTCATGCATACATTCTCCTTTCACCCATCTACCATAGAATACATGATAGATCATTGTACAAACAATGGATTCTTGTGATCTATGCAGATCAAGAAATGATTACAGAGAACCAAATTATTTAATCCCTTTTTTTTTTTTCACTTCACTTCTGTGCTACTCGCTAGCTGTTGTGAATAAAAATGTCTTTGATATAATTCTTCGCGATAAATTCACCTTCATATGTCACTTTGTTTAGTTGTGCAGCATGCCCAATATTACCATTCAATCTAAAGCCAAATAATAATAATACAAACATTGCCAATTACAATCAAAATTCCTCGTTCACATTCATTTTGTTGCATCTATCTTACACATTATCATATATGAACCAATCTCGAATTAGCCTTTATTACATGTTATTATGTATAAAATGATTCCTATGTAATGTATATGCGCAATGTGATATTATTAACATATAACGATTAAATAGTGGTGATAAGGTTGACAAGCTACTCGGTTATCAATCACCCTAAATGTTGTCAATTTGTTTGAGAGTGTCCTCCAACTCCTGTTCTTTCAGTTTCATTTCATTTTCCCGCTCTTCAAGGCGCATCTCCAATTGAATTTTGTCATTCTCAAGTTGTTGCACTTTCCGTTCAAAGTGTTCAGCCTTGACGTCAGTTTGACGTAGTCTAATTAGATCAAACATGTCTCGGTTAGGAATCGTACCAAACACAAAAGTCCACTCATCTCGTACAATTTCGCTCACACTGCCAGATAGCTCTAATGAAAATGACAATTTCCCTCCCCACCCCCCCTTCTCTTTCCCTCCCCCTGTTTCCTTACTTCTCTGTCGTTTCTCTAAGATTATTCTCAGTTATATCCAGCTCCTTTTCAAGTAAGGATATCTTCCTTTGAAGCGCCTCGATCTGCGCCTTCTGATTCTCTTCTTCCTCTTTAAGACTTTTCGCGTCCTCGATTTTAGTCTGAGCTGCCTCTAGTTCTTTTTCCAAAAGAATGACTTGATTATTGAGACTCATAATGGTTTTCTCTTTTGTAATATTTTCCGTTTCTTGAACCTTGCATTGAGCTTCAGCACGCTCAGCACGCTCAGCATTGGCATCTGCTTCTGCGCGGAGAGTTTGGAGTCTCTAAAGGGGACAAAAATTTACGTGTATATGTATAGATATAGAGATCAAATATGCACTTTATATGTCTTGTCCAAATTACATCGACGCTCAAGTTAAGTAACTTTAGGAGAACAAATGCCAGGGTAGAAGCGCTCGACAGTTCAGTCGAGCCTAGCTTTGCGCAGTTCTCGCAAATTGTCAATTACGTTTCGACGTTAAATGAGTACATACCTCCCTTAATTTTTCCATTATATTAGATCAGACTATTCGACAAGGCTAAAGAGGTATGTAATAAATAGTAAAGCGAAACAAAGGAGATAAACAACAAGGCTTATGATCTGGACGAGTTATTCAAAACCTGCACTGTTGTGAGAGTTTGGCTTTTCTTGTAACCAATTGGAATTTTGCGACACGTCCACACAAAGAAATTTCTGGGTAATGCCACACAATTAAGTTGCATTAAATTCTTTCCCTTGATTCTGTAAATATTTGCCTTACATTTAGTAAATAATGAATTAGATACGACACGAATGTATTATTCAGTATCTATTTATAGTCCATTGTTACCAAAACCATTAACGAATAATATTTTTCGTTTCGATGGAATTAGTTTAGCTACAACACCATGATTCGCATGGTAGATATATAATGTAACGTCAAGGTAATGACTGCTTTAGAGCATTCTCTTTAAAATGCAGTAGCATCGCACAACGAACTCTTCCCAAGCGCGTAACTGAGATTCCCCCAGTCTTATGCGATCTATTGATTTCTCTGTTCTAACCGCGTAGTCTTTTGAAAGATCAGTATATCACGGGAATAAACACGACTTGAAACATTTTATGAATCCCGATAATATTTCCTTATTTATTAAGTTTAATATATAATATTAATATGTACATTCAGCGTATCAGGTAAATCGGATTTTACTGATTGAACTATACCACGTAACATGCACGACTTGCACATTCTCGACTTACGATTGTACCCACTGCTTGCCCCTCGTAGCGCTTCGATCATAGACAAATTGGATAACTATTCACCGTTGGACGGCGTAAACTAATACTCTACCACCTTGGCAAATTGCTCTACATCTTTTTATTTGCTCAGGAATGCACACGAAACAACAATATCCTGCTACGATCTCTGGTTGCAAGAGGGATATAATATAAATGTATATCTCTTATTGTCCATCGTAGCAGATACCGAAAGGGTTTAAAATACAACTACACTGGCCTGTGTCGGTGAATAACTGCAGCCGAACAGACAACAGCAATAGAGATAAAACTGCAAATAAGATAACAACAATTCTGTATATTGCTTTTAACACATAAATACCCTTTCGTTATCAACCAAAAAAAGTCTCTGGCGGCATCCAATCTGGCGAAACTGCTCCCTCCTTTTTCAAATTCCTTAATATCTGTTCCCAAGTAGACTCGTAGATGTCAAGATGTCCAAGTGCCATCATTCGATCCGATAATTCAGTTAATTTCTCGATATCTCTTTTCCTTTTCTGTTCTTCAGTCACTTCAGTGACGACTTGTGCCTCTGCCTCTATGTCTTTCTTTTTCTTGTTGGTAAATCGTTTACGCTTGTTCTTGTTCCTTCCTCCCAACCTTTGAAACGTGTCTACAAGCTTTTCGCCTCTATTCATTATGGTCAATAATTCTTTCCATATATCTATATGATCCATCGGAGCTTGAGCTGCTTCTTCGGCTTCTTTTAGTTTGCGCTGCTGCTCTTGCTTTTCGTGAGCAATTCTAGCTTGTTCAATGTCCCTTCGTGATAGGCCGTTAAGCCAATTATCATGGAACGCGTTTGGATCCCTTCGGTTTCTAACATAGTTTCCGGCCTCGTCGAATTTTCCTTCTTCCATCTCCTCTATCATGTTGAACGCCATTATTGCGGGTTCGTCCGTCTCTTCATCATATCTGTCTATCGAATCAAACTCTTGACCTGCTATGTCGTTAATCTCCAAATACCTCTTTTTCTTTTTCTTGCTGAATCCTACTTCGTCCGATTCCTTGTTCTCGTCAATGTCATCGTCGCTTGCAAACATATCCTGATCGGCTTCTGCCCGTTGTTTTCCTTTGACAGTACCACTTCGACGCAGATACAACGCCTCTCCATCATCGTCTGAACTATCAGATCCGTAGCCCTCGAGCCTGACGGCACCTTTACGGATCTTTGCTTTCTCTAGCGACTCTGTGTGGTCAAATTCTTCATTGAAACTATCATTTGTAGAGTCTGAAGGAAGACTGAAGCGTGCTCGTTTGGATCCACCGGCTTTCGTGTTGGAGTTTGGTTCTAAACTGCTCACTTGTGATTTTCTTTTTCTCATGTCTGAGAGCAGAAACAGTATTGTGGAATTCAAATGACGACATATTTGGTATCACCCATTTAAATACGATTGGACAGTGGGTGGGTAGATAAAGAATGTAACCTATTAATATATTTCAAAACTCAGTTAAGCTCCGAATTTATCTATTATTATTTCAAGTTACTTCACCATGTCTCGCTCTTACGTTGAACCGCCATTTCCTGTCGAACAGTCAGCTTCGCAGGCAAAGAATTCTCAAATTTGCGGCTACAACACACGCAGTCCAGGTAAAAGAGGAGCATAATTAGGTCAAAACTTGAGAATGTTCGCATTGTATTAAATCACATGTCATAGCTGTTAAACGACTCTTACGAGAAGCCAAGGAACTGCGAGAGGACGATAGTGATGATTACTGTGCTGAGCCTCTTGAAGTATGTATACTACATTACTGGTAGGAATTAGTTTGAATTGTAACTTACCGTATGTTGGTTGGTCTTTTGTAGGATAATATCTTTGAATGGCATTTTGTAATTCGAGGTCCCATGGATTCCGAATACGAGGGCGGAAGGCAAGTATAATTCGATTAATGGATCAGTTTTTTCAATGCGCTAAACTGCTATATACCTTTCATTATAGATACCATGGCCGAATACTTCTCCCACCAGAATATCCTTTTAAACCGCCAAACATTATGCTCACTACTGTATTATCCCATTCTTTTTAGTTTTTTTTTTTGTTGAGCACATTTTGTATTTCAGAAACTTACATTGACTCTGACTTTGTCCAGCCAAATGGTCGGTTTGTACCTAACAAGAAAATCTGCCTAAGTATTACTGGGTATCATCCAGAGTACTGGTTGCCCGCCTGGGGAAGTAAGTTACGTTTACTTGCAGTAGGATTCTACTGGCTTAATACCTTTTTGATCTAAAAATTGCGTTCTTGCTATTTGAATCTCTTGTTCAGTTCGAACAGTCATATTAGCACTAATTGGCTTTATGACGACTAAAGGTATGGATAACCGATTAGATTAGTTTTTTATCTCTCAAAACCGTGTGTTGAATTTTAGCTTCTAATATAATGACTTTTCTTTTTCTTTTTCTTTTTTTTTTGATAGCGAATGGTGCGATCGGAGGCGATGATAGTTATTCACCCGAGGATCGTAAGATTTTGGCTAAACGGTAAGAATCAACCAATTTTATATGTCGTTGCGGTTATTTTTAATAACTTTGATTGTCGCTCGCTGTTTTTAGGTCTCGTAATGACACATGCAAAATATGTAAAGTACCCAACATAGTGCTGCTGCCAGATAGAACACGCACCGATAAAGCGCCAGCTCGCGAAACTCTGGGAGAAAAGATTGTAATGTACTATGAAGATGTGTTCAAGGAGATGCCTAATAACAATACTACTACCGACCTTGCAAGTACGTTACAGACTCGTGATGTATCAGTATAGATGTATTGCTTGTATAACTTTTAATTTCACTGTAGGTTCTGAAGAGACATCTGGTCAGTCGGCGGAGATGCCTGGTCAATTGACAGAAAAGACGCCCAATCAATTAGTGGAAGAGACGCCCGATCAATTAGTGGAAGAGACGTCTGATCGGCTGGTGCCAAATACTATGTCACATAAACCACGAGACATTGTTTTTATTGACATCTTGATTGGGATTGTTCTGGCTATCGTAATTACATTGATCGTTAAGAAGTTCATGTAGATAAAAGCATATTCCTATTTAATTATTTAATCTCGAATCAGTTAGTAAAAGTGTAGAGTTGTATTATAGAATGTTATTTGGAGCTGTTGCATAACAAATATATTTGATGTTTTTATTAAATGGTATATGATTGTACAAGGCCACCCCGCTAAAGTTATACATTCCATCTAATCAATAAATATTATTCCGCATCATTATTAATTGTTTGATGCATCTATTTTCTGATCCTCAGATAGTTGCTTCTGCCACATCTCGTAGTAAACACCGTCTACGTTCTCAATTAATTCTCTATGAGTTCCAGACTCGACTATTCTACCATCTTTTATAGCGAGGATCAGATCGGCGTTTACTATCGTGCTGAGACGATGAGCGATAACTAGGGTCATTCGGTCTTTAGTTATGTATGTAAGAGCATGCTGGATTTGGCGCTCGGTTGTTGTGTCGAGTGCAGAGGTTGCCTCGTCAAGGAGAATGATCTGAGCAGGGGGGAGAGAGAAGATTTGTAACATTAGAGATTGAAGAAGAAAGAGCGAAGAAATGAATGCAGATTGATATAATAGTTACCTGAGGATCCTATTATTATATCCAAAAAATTTGAAAGTCTTAGTCATGGAATTAAAATATTTAAAAAAAGAATATTGTCATGAAATTACTATACCTTTAGCATGGTTCTGGCAATAGCGACTCTTTGTTTCTCGCCACCGCTCAACCTAAGACCGCGTTCTCCAACTCTCGTCTCATACCCATCTGGGAATGTCAGTATGCGATCGTGAATCTGTGCAGCCTTGGCCGCTTTGTATACTTCGTTCTCACTTGCATTGACATTTCCGTAGTGTATGTTATAAAATATAGTATCATTAAACAAAACGGTGTCCTGTGGAACAACACCAACGTTACGACGAAGCGACTCTTGTTTAACTTGTCTGATATCTTGGCCATCGATCAAGATGCGCCCAGACTCTACGTCGTAGAAGCGGAATAGCAATCGCAATATTGTTGACTTGCCACCGCCACTGGGTCCTACTAGAGCAACCGTCTTGCCTTGAGGAATCGTGAAAGAGACGTTATTCAGTGCTTGTTGTCGTGGATCATAAGAGAAACAAACATTTTCTGTAATTGAAATAAAAAGATTGTGGATTTTGAATAGTATGTTAGTATGTAACAACAGAGCCTGACAGTGAAATCAGAAAATGGCATTTAATAAATATGTACCGAAGGTAACTGTTCCTTCGGTTACTTTCAATTCCGTTGCATCAGGAGCATCCTTTACATTCAGTTCTTGTTTGAAAAGATCAAACATCTGTTCCATGTCGATGAAATTGGATTGAATCAATCTGTAATAAGTTCCGAAAAAGTTCAACTACAAAAAAAATTGTACGAGACACAATTATATTAGACTTATTATCAAAACTGTGGGCATTGCATGTATAATACTTAAACATCTTCTCACCGGCGTATACAGTTGACTTATATATGTCAGAAACAGCACGAGATGACCAACGGTAAATTCACCTTGCGCAGTGCGATAAGCACAGAGCAAGGTCCCGACAAGCAACCCAAGCGTGATTATGAGATTTTGACTGAGATTTAAAACGTTAAGAGATAGCTGTACTTCATAGTCAGCTTCCTGATATTTCGCCACAGCTTCATCGTATCTCTGTATTTCAAAGCGTTCTGCATTGTAATACTTGACCGTCTCAAAGTTTAATAATGAATCCACTATAAAAAAACAACAACAATAATTAGAAACATGTCGACGATACTACACGTCAAGATATAATGGCTACTTACCAGCTTTAGCTCTTGCATCATTATCCAGCTCGATCATTCTTCTTCTGAATTTCGTCCTCCACTCGGTAATCGATATTGTAACATAGATATAGCTCACCATTGTGACGAATACGATACTACCAAAGGACCACCCGAAAGCAATTACAAAATAAATCACGGCTACTACAATGTCCACGATCACGGGTAATATTTGGAATAGAATTTGATTGAGAAGAGAGACGATGCTGGAAGTGCCTCTATCCATCACTCGTAAGACTTCGCCGGTTTTACGATTAATGTGGAACGAAAGAGATAGAGAATGAAGATGTGCGAACATGCTCGTAGAAATCTCTCGAGTAGTATACTGGCCAACGCGAATCCAAAGATAATTCTGAGTTGATTGTATAAGACCTACTCCACCCTGGAGAAATCGGAAAAAGACGAATAAAGCAATTGATCCCCAAATAAATTGGGCTAATCAAATACGAGACGATGATTAGTTTGGTATAAACAGTGACGTTTGTTCGTCATCGGATTATTCGACACCACCCCCCTTTGATTCATTCTACTTACGACGATGTCCGTCGTCGCTCGTCAATTCATCGGTGATAATCTTCAATTGTCGCGGTACAAGCACATTCACAATGCGCCCCGTGATCATCAAAAGGAAACAGACGAAAACCATGATCTGCAACGCTCGGTTCTTGTCCGGCCATAGAAATGGTAACAATTTTCGCATCTTTTCGAAAAAGTCCGACCAAGTGCTTACACCTTCGGCATGTTGAGCATCTCCAGCTGCATTAGGCAAGGATTCGTAAGCACTACCGTTTGTCGTAAATCCAGATTCGACATCATCATAGACAGTGTCCTGGAAGGCATGAAAACTGACAGCAATGGTTGCAACCAAGAGGAGAAAATATCGAGCGATAAAGGTGAAAAATAATAAAAGGTCGTAGATGGTCATATCCTGATCTGTATAATAGACAAGTTGAAGCCATATAAAATTACATGATTAGTATGCTAACAAATAATTCCAATGAAGATTAGAGTCATTGATACACTTATCAACTATCGGGGGCATATTCCGTTTTTCAAATGTAATAGCAAACATTCAGCCACCAACATGAAATCATTTTCCTCATGTTCAGTCAATAGCTATTAACCTACCAGTTTTATCATGCGTCACGTTCAAGAGCCACGAATATAGCAGAACAGAGTTTCCAGCAAGTACTACCCAATAGAATGCATACTGTATCCATGACCATGTTCTATTAACCTTTGACTCGAATGACATCAAACTCAAATTAATCACCCAGGCAACCGTGAAAAAGACATCATACAAGGCATAGTTTGTAGAAGTCCAATATTTCTCAATCAAAGCTCTACACGTCAGTATGATACTATCTATTAGGTATGTTGCTACTATCAAAGCACTGAGAACGTATATAGCTTTAGATAGGGTAGAAAGGCGAGTGACGTTTGTGGACTCGAATAATGGCTGGTATACGGCTCGCTGTCGGAGGACAGTACCATATCGGTATGCTCCCAGAACGAAAACGAGTAGAAAAGTCGCAATCGGGTAGACAGAGAAAAAGGAACAGTTTATGAAAGCATGATAGTCTACCCCTCCATGGCAGAAGAATTCTTCTTCCCAAGAGAGTGGAGAGGCCTCCATGGTGCTGATTAATCTGATCGAAGAAGTAGGGTTGATATTTATATAATCAATAAAAATTCATTGCGTGAACATCAGTAACGTAATTTTTCCCGTCTTACGCAGTAGTACAAATTGGTCAGATGCTGATCAATAAACGTTGGGCGCAGGAAATATTAATATTTGATCTGCATAAAATTATAAATGTGCAAATGCATTGTTGGATGTTGCTTCAAGTCTTATTATCGAATATACTTGTTTTAATGTTCGGGTCGGATTTCGGGTACTTTTTGTTCCGCAAGTCATTTGATATATTTTTAATTGTCAAAGAATGTAAATAGTTAGAAAAGGATTAATGAATTGTAAAGTATGAGAGGATAATTATACAAATTTTTACGGTTAGTTACTAAAGTTGTATGTACGTACGTACATAGGAAATTCTCCCAATGCAATTCTTTGTCTTAATTCTTCGCATACAGAGCCAATTCTAGAGAAAGATATGTGAGCAGCGCGCCCATACCATTTCACCGCGTTGTCCACATGCGTATCTACTATCAACGTCTTTCCCTAGTCTCGTTTATAGCGACTGAATATGTCTCTCTGTAAGTTGACAATTGAGACTTGCTTAATTGCGTTTTGGTGCTTTTACTAGAATATCATGCAAGTATAACCGCAATAACTACGTAGAGTCAGGTCGACTCTCCATTTTGTAGGCTAACAATTAGTGAATTCACTATTGACACACTCTTAGTGTGCGCACACTGAATTAATTAGTGATAATGTTAATACAATATCAATTGCTATTTTCTACTTGGCGACACGTTCAAGCGATGACGAATCCGTGGAACACTTACGTCACTTGAATGATGTAAGACATTCGCAAGCCTTTCACATATGCACAAGATGCAGATTGATGGCCCTCTCAGAAGTAATCTGCATTCTTCAGACTTTCATTAAATGTCGCTAACAAGGAGCAACTTCATTGGTAGCTGTATCGCACAGTAAGTTCAGAATAACCAAGTCGTGATGACATCACAAGTGTGTAATCGTAATAAAGTTTATTTAATTATACTTACTTTCTCTCCTTGGCCGCTAATAACACCAAGTTTCAATTACCGTAAACTGGCAGGCGTTGTTCTTTATTTAAATTACCAGTAAAAAAATTACTTGATTTATACTTTGAGATGTATAAACGTGTGATGTATTGCGTTTGTTTACTTACATCAAGGAGATAATCAAAGGGAATTATATGATAAGAACATTATTGCTTTCACCTGATGCTCTCAGCATCACATATTCCAGCTAACATCATGTGTGCTATGAGATCGTATATCTCTAAATTTCAGATTCACACAAGTTATTTACAAAATATCGTCCAGCGCATTATAACTCTGAGGTCTAAACGGTTCTCGCGCATTAAGTCCAAGTTTTTCTCGTAGTTTATGATCATACAATATAAACTGAAAAACAACGAGCGAGTCAACCGACAACTGCACGATACCACACAGGATGAATTGTAATGGAGAAGCAGTATATAAGAAATAGAAAGTTTTAAAGGTATCTCCAAAGAACCACATGAGTAATATTAAAGGGCTGGAATAAAGATCGCGGGAGGGAATATCACAGTAAGCATGACAAGCGTATGGGTATCGTTCGGTCCTAAACATCAATCCATGCGAGATTGTCGTGAAAAAGTTACGTACCTGAATCCTTCCACAGACTGTCGTCGAAAGTTCTCCCAAGCTTGCGGCATCGGAACTGTGCTTTCTATTCCCAAAGCCTACAGATAACCGCAAAGAAAATAAATACAAACTCGACAGAGAAAATACTCTGACACCCTCACCCTCACCCTCACCCTCACCCTCACCCTCACCCTCACCCTCACCCTCACCCTCACCCTCCTCCCCCTCCCCTCTTGATCTGTTTACCAAGTATCCCAAGGTCGCAATAGCCCAATGATACCTCCCCAGTGTCAAGGAAAAGACACCCAATATGCCTGTTAAGATACTCAGAAATACAAGGTATGATCGATATCTGTACCAGTTCCAGAACCATCGTCTATTCGGTGATGGCGATATTGGATATCGGTACTCGACGCAGACATATAGAAGAATCAATTGGACAAGGATCATTAAGATACTCTGAAGTAAGAGAACCGTATCGAACTTTTCACCGAACCTTGATCAAATATGTCAATTAACGAGAATACAATGCGAATGGGAGGACGGGAAAATAGATAGCTTACCAGAAGAAAACACGTATAATGCTAAGCCATAAAATGTCGTTAGATTATCGTTATCACCCTTACGGAACATTTTGTATAATACTAAACCAACACTAACTTGCTAACAAGTAACACTCCGCATGTATCCAACGAGAAACCTATGCTCGAGCCAGTGCGACGAACTTGAGCTATCTGATCAAAATAGCCAGTTACGGGGCCGACGACCATGCCGAGCTGGAGCAAGAAGTGGATCACAGTAATGAATTCCATTTCTGTGCTATATGGTTTGTTCGTATGAAAGGTTGTTTGTAACGAAGTCTGGAATCAGCCCTGCCAATATTGTTTTTGACCTGATTAAGGAGTCTGGTACGACAGACAAAATAGTGCAACGGAAAGAGGTTCAGTTGGTAGCAGTAATAGTAATAGTAATAGAGTTCAAAAAATGTGAGCGAATGTCTGATACATTTTTTTTCTCATATAAAGCTCAACATAGCTAAAGTATTGTGGACAAATGAAGCCTGTGTACTGCACGCACCTGCACGATTCTAATACTGTAGACCAATTAAATCATGTGACGAAGTCCATCCTTGAAAAACGTTCTTATGATGATATTAGTGAGTTTTGCTGTTGTTGCTATTATTTATTATTTATTATGCTATCTATACATTGGTTAATACCATCTTCCCATGCGTTGTCCATCATCAAGACTTCCCACACTAATACTTTTCAAACCGTCAGACTTACCAAATTCGGAAAAGCTTTTGATTAAATTTATCAAATTTTACCTAGTCCAGAACCCTCGCAAACAAACCTTCTGATGCTAGCGTTTATGTATCTTCTAGCCAACTGTTGGATCGTTGTTACCGTCATTTAATTTACGTCTCTAACCAATAAAGAATAATTTTCATTGAACGTATTCGCAGTGACGTTTAATTTGGGTAAGGATCGTTCGGATAATCCGGAAAAAGCATAAAAGTATAATTATCATGGTAGTCACAATTCGATGGAATCCGTGCTAAAATTTATAGTTGTCCTTTGTCTTTTCGAATCTAATTTGTAAGCATTGCATTGATTAATATTTGACTTTTGTATAATTCTATCGATAACAAACAATTATTAGACTTTGTTTGTATATTCAGACTACTTTTAAACACTTTAGTGAAAATAGAAAGATACTGTCTACGTATCAAATTATGGTGGAGGGCAGTTCTACCGTGAACAATTTTTTTGTCATCAAGTCGGAAGATCGGGAAGTGTGCAGATAGGGAAAGATTATACCATATGACTTCAACCATTTGTCATTTATCTGATAACGCGGCTTTAAGACGTTTGGCAAACATGCTAGTACGGAATATATGTATTTATACCTCGTACTTTGCCATTAGTATAACGAATACTCTTGTTAAATATTTACTAACAAGTAATTGTTTTCGTAAATTTGTTAAAAAAGTCACGTTTTTTGTTTGCGAATCTAAACACTTGCTATCTCCCAATAACAAGATCAATTATTTCACTGATTTGAAGGCATTGTTCGTAACAGAATACCTTTTTTACCTATAAAAACTTTGCAAACTAACTTTGACTTGTATGCATATTCACTCGGCTCTTGCGAACAATTGGTAAGCTAATAGTTTTCCCATATATTGATTAAGCCGTTGACGCGATAGTGTCAATTATCTGACCCATGCTTTCTCAGTTAGATTAAATTAATACGAAAACTACTCTATTCTTTTTCGCGATCAGTGTTAAAAAGCAAACACAAAATACCGTGTCACGATTGGAACTCTTGGGTGCTCCCGATTTTATTTTGCTCGGCTTGTACTAAGCATATTAAATTATTGACGCGTTTATACATACAAAAAGGGATTGGTTCGTTATTGAAATACTTTGTCATTAGATTGTTTAGCATTAGAAAAATGTATTGTTGAGCGACGGCATTTTTTGAACATTTATTACGATCCACATGCGTAACATCACACGAATGCGACATAAATATTCTTCCCGATTAGCAAGACGCTCCCCCACCCTGTGATGACAGCCTGTTCAAAGAATGTCCAAAACCCAGTTGAAAAATCTATACACGCATCGAACGGCTACAACAGAGCGTCCATGTTTCATATGCAGCCGGTTTTCGTCCGCTGTACTTACGGCTGATAACGGTTTAGACTGGTTCTACGTCTGTGTCAGGTAGAGAATGATTTCTGTTCTTGTAATTTTGGAGGTTCGAGTCCGCTCACTATTCGCCACCCCTCCTCTCTCTCTCCCCTCTCTCTTCCTCGTAGTCATTTGAATGATCGTGGCTTTGCTAAACCTGCCTTTGAGCCTGAACCAGTAGTGCAACCAACGACAACGCCACCAAAACAAGCCTCCAAAGATAAAGGTACTAAACCCAAGAAGAAGGAGGCTGATAAGGAGGCTGATAAAGAGGCTGATAAGAAGAAAGAGAAAGCAGGAGAAGATAAAGACACAAACCCAAAGAAGAAAAATCGCGAAGACAAAGAAAAGAAAAAGGATAACACTACAAAACAGCAGATGGCTACTCCCCAACCCGTTGCGACTCGACAACCGCCTAAACCGAAACAATACATACTGCATCGTGATATTTTCTATTTACGTGAATCGAAGAAAAGGGAGAAAGAAACCAAAGCATTTCTTGCTCAATTCCCGAGTGTACCAAAGACAAGTCTTTCGTAAGCCGCAAATTCAATTGTAATTGTACCATGTTAATTTATTGCAGTCTATTAATCATTGCCACTAACAGGTGATTAATTGATCATATAAACCCGTTTCTGCGATGATTCTGCATACCCGGTTGTATGTGCATGTTTGATATTAATATTAAAATGGGCGGCAATATATTACACTCGTATAGAGTCGTGTTCCTTTCGAAATCACTTCTACTCTGAAAACTACTATCACGACTTGAACGCGCAACCCAAGCTACAATGACGTTATTTGACACGTCAGTTCAAGTGGTGTGTTGCTTTCTTTGATATTTCTCATATTTATGTTGCCTCAGCTCGTAGTCTGCACTGGTGCCATTGTGGCCTAGGTAAGAGTGTTCGTTGGTCAATATACATTCGCACATGCTTGAATACGGATAAGGTTTCGTACGCGACTTACCTTCGCGAAAGCATTCATTACAGTACAGATCGCCCTCGCAGCCATGACATTTAATAGTTGCATCATCGTTGCATATACCTAAAATCACGTAAAGTCAGATTTGTTTAAAAGAAGAAAGAGAGCAACTTTACAAATGTCTCCGTTCACATACAACACCAAGTGTCAGGGTCGTCATTGGGGTCTGTCTGAAAATCTGATAGATCTATTGGTCTTGGCGGAGGACCTAGCAAATCTGACGATGTGTTTGACGTGGACGTTGTCGTAGAAAACTGCGGACCTTCCGTTAATCTCCTCAGTCGCTCGGCCAAATCGTCATCGGTATCTCTCCTTTGAGCATCATACTCGTTCTCTAAACGGACTTCCGTCTGTACTTGTTGATACAGAGACGAGACATCGCTTTGATCGGTCTGCATCAAACCATCCTCTCTCAAAAAGTTAAAGTCATAATAATCTATTTCGTCTCCATCTTCCGTGCCCAGTAAATTTTCAATCTACAACAAAAATAGCCAGCCGCATAAGTACACGTATTAGCTATCGCTATACCCTCGATGACGGAAATTTTGCTTTCCTCACTTCATGTGTATCAAGTTCTCTAGACGAATGTGAGACGGGAGCCGAGGAAGTTGGTCTTCGGCCAAGCAACCTACTGAAACGCTCCTCCAACTCTTGATCGCTATAATGAATGTACCATTATTTATACAAATATAGAATCATCACTTATAATATTCTTAGCACATACGAAACGTTTGTCTGCGCACTGAAATTCGTAACTTGAAGGCGCGCAAGTCGTTCTGCTAAGTCTTTATCTTCGTCTTTTGTCATGCAAGTTTATTTTTTGGGCAATAAATTTCTTTTGGTATTTTGAGTTGAAATATCCTACATAGTACGACGACGGAATTTGATTGTCTACATTTACACACACAACTTCCCATTATTATTATTATTCCTTTTTTCCTCCCTTGTCTCATGCACCAACGCTTTTAGAAGTCTTTTTTACACTCTGGTCGACTGTTGTATAGTACACTATGGTCGTGCCTGCACAAATACATTCTAATATATCCTTAGACAAACTTGAAGTATCATTAATAGCACATGTATACGATAATCGAATAGAGATCCGTAACTTGGTAGGTCGTATGACAAGATCGAAGAAATGTTTGTAATGCAGAAACATTGTAGTCTATATACTACTTGGGAGAGTGAGACTCGATGCTTTGAACGATTTTACCAAACCGATTTCTTTCCTATTAGGATGGTACGGACGATCTTACTTTAGAAAACTACCGATGGTATGAAGGTAAATCAATTTCATAATAATAGTTTTGTTCGCTACATTCTTCCTTGCGAGTCTGCAATGAAACCTAAAGGATTGTTTAATTTTATCCTTTAGGCTGTGCGGTGGTTAGTTACGAGGACCATCGAGTTTCTCCGACTTGCACGGGTAGACGGACTTTGTTAAGACCGTCGTCTGCCTCGATTTGGGAGGACATATTACGGCTAAACCTTGAATATGGCGGTACATGGACTGTAGAAGATGCTATTCAACTCGAATCCAAATTACTTGTAAATTTTCCTTCCTAATGATACCATATAACTTTTCTTCCTTTTTCTCAACGGCATCCTTTTCTAACTTTTCGATTCGCTATCAGTTGGCGTTATATCCAAATCTCGATTTGGAGGTCATGAAGCCTCCGTTGCCTCCATTAGATTCTGAAGAAATAAAAAGGCATAATGTTAATAGCATGAAAACGCCAATGACAAATGGTATAATCAGAGAACCTTATCGTCGTATAAGGATGCGGAGGGGCGCAAAGAGAAAGCTGAACTCGTACGAGATGGAACAAGAAGCCGCCAAGCAGGCAGAATACGAGAACTTGATGTATACAATGGATCCCGTACGTAATCTACTTTATTTCTTCTTAATAATATTGTAAGCCAATTGGTAAATACTAGCACGGCAAGATGAGAGAATGTTTTGGCGCCATCTACTTGTAGCATTCGATTGTAGGCCAAGGATTTTAACACGAAGCTGTATTTCCTATGGTGTTTAATTTGTACAGAGATACGGACGTGAGTTCATACCAACCTTCCGTCAAATTAAATATTTTAATACGGATCCTACGGACCCGTATACAATAAGAAAAAAGCGACGATTGACAGAATTTATTGTGGAAGAAGGTATTTAACGAATACGTAATTGCTCTTACGCGTGCTCAACAACCATCGTAACTAAATTGGTTTAACATAGGGCGAAATATTAATAAGAAGAAAGCAGAAACCACCACGCTCATTAGATGGATGAGATACGAGCGGGGAGTTCATGATATGCCTGAGAGTAGGCGTCTCTAATTTTCTATAATTTGATGCTTTATGTATGTATGTATTATATTGTTTCTAAATTGAATGTCAATTTTGTAGCAACGAGAACAACACGAGAGGTGACGGTGCACTCGCTCATAAACGTCTTACGGGATACAAATAGCAAATTCGAAATCCATGTATACATAGTGTCACAAACGGACTTTCCAGAGGATACAAACGACTATGATGAATTCTGCGGGAAAGTCGACCAGAAAGAGTTCAGAGAAATACTAGACGAACGACGGGTAAACGCGAGGTAAGATTGATTAAGAAGTCAATGCAATCTTGAACGATTAATTTTTGAGTCCTCTCGGACAACTCATAACCATCATTAATATCATTGTTTTTTTGCGATTCAGAAATAAATACGACGACGAGAGTACTTATAGAGCTGGTCTTAAATCATTTATGACGCTTTATGCTCTAGAAGGTAATGTGCTGGTCGCAGACTCGCAAGGACGAACAGATCCTGATCACGACATTGTAGGCGCCATGCAAACATTAGTGCCAAGAGGACTATCATATATTCAAAAGACTGTGGTATCACCAGAACTTACTAATCCAGTGAAACTTCTTGAAAATCACTGGATAAATCAGGCAGCTTTGGATCAAACAGCAAATGAGAAACAAGAGCTTGTTTACAAATACGACGAAGACGGGACCACCAAAGAGATTGGCATATCATCTATCCAAAATGTTTATAGTGCCGCGAGTATAGCATACCAAAACTTTGTGAAACAACATCCAAATGGTCGTGTTGGCAATCAGCAGCCTAACCATATTCATCCAGTGCCGCCTGGACAAACACCACGAGCTATTCAGAGACCACCAACGTCAATACAGCTGCCACCAAGACAGTTGCCTGCACTCACTCAACAGCCACCAAATCACCAAGTTCCAGTACAAGCATCTCAAAATCCTGTGCAAGTGTCTCAGCCACAACCCTCAAATGCTACTCGTTCTCCAAAAGGGATTAGAGTACAACCACAGCTTATAAGCGGGGGTGCAGTTGGTGTTGGTCGTCCGCAACCGCCATTGCTTCAACGATCACAACAACCAAGCGGTCCTGTTGCCTCAACTATAGGTATACAGAGACCAATACAGCTGCCGAATGGTGGTATCATTCAGCAACAACAACAACAACAACAACAACAACAACAACAACAACAACAACAACAACAAGTTATTCAACTCCCTCAAACATCACAGATACAAGGTCCCCCACAATCACAGAGCCAGCAAGGTCCACAGCAAATACAGCAGCCGATTCAACCTCCCCAACAGCCTCTACCTCATGAAAGATTAATGTTACCTGGTGGCGGTATAAACAACAACGTTCAGCACCCTTCGCAACGTCCTAATCCACAGCCTTCCGCACAACCACTTTCTCGGTCCAACTCACACACGCCAGTCCAGTCACCGGCAGATGCTCCACGGCAGGTTGGAACACCTGTGCAACAACATCAGATTATACCCACTACACCTCGGCGAAGGCGATCACAATCTCCGCAAATACGGCCCCCTATTGCACAAACACCACCACAAAACCAACTGGTCAATCCAATTGTAACTGCTCAACCATCAATTCAAACACCAATGCAAGGCCAACCACCTCAAACGCCGATACAACAACCTATCCGTAGACCCGCACAGACTTCACAACAATATATTCATCAAATTTTGACACAGAGAAGAGGACAAAGGCCTCCTATGCAAATGAGACCTCCTATAAGACAACCGGTAAACCTGCCTGGGGGTTCCCTAAGTTATGCAGACGTACATTTTCGTATTAATCCAGCTGCTCAACAAGGAAAAGTGCATCCTATTCAACAACTACCAAACCAATCGAACATTTCCATCAATCAGGCTGCTGCTTTTGCAAATGCTCAACAGATACGAATACCACAGCAAACGCACAACGGAGGCTTGACAGCATCTGCTCAGACTTTTGTTAGTTCTTCACCGCGACAAGCACCAGTGGTACCACAACAACCTCGTCAGACACCACAATCTCATCCGCAGACGCCAGTCATTAGTCCAGCTTCGATCAATTCTAGTGGAACGCCATTTATTTCTCCGACTCGGCAGCGACCTGTACAAATACAGGCACCACAACCTATGACGAGTCCCGCTACACGAGTTCAAGTCCTCCCGAACGCTAATCCTCAGGCCACTAATTTCCAGTTATCTGGTAATATGCCAATGGTATCTAATATGAGACCACATAATATCGTTTTGATGCGTTCTGCGCCTAACGGTGCTGATGTAGTACTTAATCAACCAGGGTCATCCCTTGTTTTGCCTTGGGCACAGCAACCTGGCTTATTTGCACAGGCTCAAGGTGGGATAACTCAACGTCAGTTATTATTAAGACATCAACAACAACAACGACAGCAGCAACATCAGCAACAACAACAACGACAGCAACAGCAGCAGCAACAACAACAGCAGCAGCAGCAGCAGCAGCAGCAGCAACAACGACGTGAATTTTATCTTAGGCAACAACAGCAGCAGCAGCAACAGCAACAGCAACAACAACAGCAACAACAGCAGCAACAACAACAGCCACAACAACAACAGCCACAACAGCAGCAGCCATGGCAGTGATGGGCATCTTCAGATGAAATTGGTTTACTAATGTGAAACTGCCATCTTGTCTGCTTATTAGTGTTTGATGTACAAAATTGTAAGATTGTGTAATTGAGTTTAGATCTACGAATGTAATAAATTTATATTGAAGAACACTATTACTATTACTATCTTAATTAAATTAAATTGTATTATACGTCAACTGTGTTATTACCAGATTTTATATTTTACTTATTAACTTGTGTGGTTTAGCACAAGTCCAACTATTCATTGATTAAATCAAAAATAAGCCGGGTGCTTAACGTTAGTTAGCTGTGACTAATATTCGATCAAAACTTATGTTTCTGTCTCAAATTTTGTCATCTAGTTACTTGCAATGATTAAATTCATCATTATTTTAATCATCGAATCTTACGCGATGCTTGCATGAAAGCAAGCTTCAACTTCATAATCTAAACATCATGTCAGATTCTTTTTATTACGTAAGTTCGAGTGGGTTGTCGGCAAGCCAGTCTATAATGAATAGACAGAAAAGAAATATAATTTACCTAGCATGCGTGAGCGCTTTAAGAATATGATCAGCTTCAATAACGACAAGGGTTATGAAATATACTAAAATGTTCGGAATCAATACAAAAAAGTATTATTCCATCGCAAGCTTGTTTACTTTACTAAGATGTCTGCTAGATAGATTATTTTTATTCTTTATTATTATCTTTCTTCCTGTATATTGGTGTTTATTTTGCAACTAACAAACATTGTTTACTCAATTACCGAGTATTATTAAGACTTCATTACAAAGAGTGCTGCGTTTCATCTCATAGTAATATAGATGCACTATTAGGTAATAAAAAGTATCACGTGGGATTTCAGCATCAGCCGCTCAAACATTTCTAGCAGAGATAATCAACTGATTGCAACAGAAATGAGTTCTACTATGAACCAAAGGGAAATGGAACTGGGGTAGACAAAAGACAGTTGAATGGTATCAAAAAACAGTCAAAGAAGGAAATGTTTATGCACAATGTAGTTTTGGTTTCTATATGGGACTGGAGTAGAAGTTAAAAATAAAAAGGAGTTGAATGGTATCAAATGCTAATGCACAATATAATCTTGGTTGATGTTATCAGTATGGAACTGGAAAAAGATGAACAAAAGGTAGTCAAAAGCAGCTGAACAAGGATATGCTCAAGCACAGTTACAGTGTAATCTTGGGTGGTGTTATCAGTATGAAACTGGAGTAGAGAAAGATGAACAAAAGGCAGTTGAATGGTATCAAAAAGCAGCTCAACAAGGGAATGCTACTGCACAAAATAATCTTAGTTATTGTTATAGACATGGAATTGGAGTAGAAAAGGATGAACAAAAAGCAATTGAATGGTATCAAAAAGCTGTTGAACAAGTGGACAAGTTACTGTTATAGACTAAGACATGGAATTGGAGTCAAAAAGCAGCTGAATAGGGAAATGCTCAAGCACAACATAAACTTGGTTGCTGTTATATGTTATAGAGATGGAATTGGAGTAGAAAAGGATAAACAAATGGCAGTTAAAAGCTGTTGAACAAGGAAATGCTAATTATGTTATAGGAAGGCATTGGGAAAATAAATTGCATCATCATATTCTAAAATTCAGGAAAATCAAAGACAATTAGAAGAGCCAGGCTCATATATATTATATTATGTAGAGAGTATTGTAATACACTTCCTGGTCCTCTTTGTGACTTCTTCCAAGCTTTTCTTACTGCACTACAAGAAAAAAAACTAAATACCATATACCATTAACAAAATGAGAAGGATATGCAATCTCTCATCAAAAGATATTGACACTGATCAAATAACATGAACAACTACTTTATTTGTCTCCATGATACTGACAATTGCATTCCTTGGAATGAAAATTTGGCTCACCCATATCATGTCATCAGAAACCAAAGCTATTGCCATACTTGAGACAAATTCTTTATGGTGCAAAAGTTATTTCTTATAGCAAATGGCATGAAAATCGACTTAAATTGGAGCAAGCACATCATCAGACCCTGTGTCAAAAATACTCCAAGGGACAATATCATTATAATAATGGAAGAACGGAATCATTTCAACATTTGATATTTAAATCAGGCAACATCTTTGACACTTCATGGCAACATTACAATTACTAATACAATTCACTCTTCCAGATACTCCTGATGATATTATGGATGAGTCTATTGATCATCCATTAATTGGTAAATCATCATTTACTGATAATCTTCAGAGACAGCATTTAATGCTATGTCAGATAATGTATTTAACTTGGAACATTTACATTCAAAAATCAGTGATGATATACCATTGGGTTGCAGTAATATGAGCTTTGATCCTGAAAAACCAATAAAGTGGAAGTCATTGACAAAAAGGAAAGCACAGTTTTCGAAGGTCTGCAGCATCAACTTACCTGTTGTCAATAGCACGCTGGTATGAGCCGCAGGGGGCAGCCAAAGATGCCTTGACATACAGTACCTCGAAGGCTCAGCTAAGGGGTCAGACATCCCAGAAACAAATGATATCACATGCACCAGTCGTCGTTGTCGTTGATGACCAGTTTATTAAAAGTGAGAATATCACTTATTGTGGAGATAAGGTTAGATAATAGTGAAATTATGTAGTTGGTAAAAGACAGCTTTTTACAGGCAAACAAATAATTGTGGGAAACGTGTCCCTCTGAGAAACTCTTGAATATCGTGTTTATCCAGATAGATTAATTATGTAACATCACGTACGTGTATGTCGTATTTGCGATATCAATTAATGTGTATTCAAATAATATTAATCAGCCATTCTAATATAACATTTAGACTTTTTTATTGTTCTTTCTTGCATTAATAAAGGGGACTCTTAAAAATATACTGCACATGGGAGAAAGACAATATTTTTAATAAATATTCTAAAAATTGGGTTTATTAGATAAATAAACAGTTTGCTGTATAAATCGAACGTCCTTGGCAATACGTTTCTCACTGCGAGTACAGTGAGTTTTTGTAATCAGAGTAAACACGATTTGCAGTGTTGTCGTTGACACGCGTACCTAATTTAGTAGGGAAAACATCAGTACAAATCCAGCGCAAAACTATCCAATTCCAATGCAATAAACGACAGTTAATCTGTGTAGATTATTTGTACTTGCTTCATGGTTAATTTTGTTGGTTTACAATCGACAAATCACGTCAATGTACATTGCGCACCAATCTCCAGCTTGCAAGTAGGACTCATGAAATATATTAATTCGGCCGGTATCGATTTACATACATACGCAATTTAATTGGAAAAGGTAAATCCTTTGAATAGACTCGCGTACACTGTAAATTAACTGTAAATTACAAGTTTACTCAAGAGTTTAGGTCGCTAACTTATGTGGCAATAAACAATGTTAACAAGTAGCTACAGTAATTCTTGTCTTCGTTTTGTCATATATTATCATGTTGTTTGTTCGATACATTTATATGTATACAGTATGCAAAATTCTGATCCGCATTATTAGTAAGGACTTTTTCTCTTATATTCATTTTCGACTAATTATTGTTTACTGCATAAACTTGGATTGAGAAAGACAACATAGTAATCATGGCTACGAGAACAGACGCTACCTTCCTCGTCAGTTCAATCAATGGTGATTAGAAAAGTATAGCAATATATACGTCGTTTAAAAATGTCGCTAGTCGATTAAGCACATATAATCTTTTTTGTTACTGTAGGAAGTGCTAATGTGCCCTCTTTTTATAACCAAGTCTACTAGTAATCGCAAGATTAATATGGATTAGATTTTACCAGAAATTCGTTCATGTGATTAATATAATCGTATCACAAGTAGACTCCCAACGTTTATTTTGAATTCATCTGTGTGCATAGTGTACTTTAACACATTGATCATTAACATCAAGTGCTTTTTTTACTTTATCCAAATGCGTCCTCAACTCACCCATGAATATCAATTTCAATATAATCCCCTCTCCTCTCTGTTTCTCATTGATCTTTACCATAGTGTGTCTTCCAAATGCATGATTGACTATCCATACATTTTCTACATCATTTTCATCTTTCAATTTAATTAATCCTTTAACTCTATAGACCTCATCTTTGGGAAGAGAGGCTAGAAAATTTTCAAACGTGTCCTTAGAATGGATATCGTATGATGTAATGTTCGAAGGAATAACTATTTGAATAAGATCAACTTCATTACGATGATGGGAAAGATCAGTGTCTATTGAAATGCTTTTGGAAGAAAGAGAAAAAAGGGTTGTATCAATGCCAAAAATGATATCTGGAGATACTCCACTATCCTTGCAGCATTTAATTTTTGGTGTATCTGTGTTTAATTCATTAATGTGATCAATTACTACATCCAACTGGTATTCGTTGACCTAATATAGGAAATGCGCGTGTTAAAATAGTATAATGAGACTATTTCTGATATGATATATGAATAGGTCCTCACCATTTCCCATTTATTGAGCAATATAACGTCTGTATACTGTGCTTGCATTTTGGCAGTATAGCTTGTGTCTTCATATCCAGAGAAATTGACACAGTCAATCACGGTAGCAATACTGTCTAATACAAAGCCCATTGAGTTCATTTCACGTATTTGCCAGGCAATTGGAGCTTAATGAATTAGATAATATTCAAATTAGTAAATGTATTGATGACCATAGAAGATTGGATGTAATCGCCTCGTGCATACCCGGAAAGGCTGAACCGCTGAATGAAGAAAATTGCGCAAAAGTCAGAGCGGGTAAATTTGCAAGACTAACATTCATTTCTCAAACAATTAGGATATCTCTGAAATACTTGCCTCGTTTCTATAATAATTCTATCAGGATTATATTTTTCTACAGACGAAGGATAGATCTGTTAGATTACCACGAATAATTCTCATCCTGGCGGACTCTTTACTTTTACCTTTGAGTTCGGTCAAAGCATTTTTCATCTGGCCCACCAACACACAACATAGACACCCATTTAGCATCTCCTGTACCGATACATTACTCTCCCGTGCCAATTCACTGTCGACTGCAATATCCCCAAACTCATTTTTCAACAGACATAGTTTATAATCTTTGGGAAGGTGTGGTATTAAGGACAGGATTATAGTTGTTTTTCCTGCTCCAAGAAATCCAGTGAAGACTGTAATAGGAATCTGTTTTGGTTCTGATTGCATTGTAGTCGTAGAAGATGAATGAACATCCATGTGAGCAAATAAATAAGTATTAATACAATGCTTTTTATTTGTAGAACAGAAATTTTCGAAGATCAATCGTTTAGACTACTTTCCATGTCCCAACCTTTTTCTTACCCTACCCCTCCCTCCATACATGATGCCGGCAGATACTAATCAATTTACTCCGCCATCAATATCTGTAAATCCATCCGAACTCTCTCTATCTCAACTTCAGTCGCTTACCAACATAGATGATATTCAAGAATATCTTCGATTATTAGATCTAGAAGAAAATCAAGTAGACGTTGACTTGGACGCTTTATTAGACAAAAGAACATATCTTGAAACAGAATTAGACAAATTAGAGGCTTTACGACCACAATTAGGAACATTACACTCAAAATCAGCCGATTTAGTGAAAATAATAAATACTACTTCGAAAGTAGCAGAGAGGATATCGGCTCAAGTTAGGCAATTGGATTTAGAACAATCACGGGTGCAGCTATCGATAAAACAAGTTGAAGACGTCCAAGAGCTCAAGTCTTGTATCAATGGAATTTATAATGCGATGCAAAAGCGCGATTACGAGACGGCAGCAGTGTATGTTCACAGGACATCGACGATCGATGAGAAGATACTCACCGGGAAATTTGCCGAGGTAGCAATACCGACTGGCGAACATCCTGATATACCGCAAAAACTTTTGCACGATTCAATGGAGACCTTGTATGCTATATTTTCACGGGAATTCGATACGGCTGTGCAAGCGAGAAGCGAGAGCGAGATTAGTAGGTTCTTTAGGCTATTCCCGTTGATTGGGAGGGAGACTGAGGGATTGGACAAGTATTCAAATTTTGTTTGTGGGATTATTGCTGGGAGGAGTCAGACTAATTTAGCGGAAGATGGTATGTATGACGTATATGATGTTAGTATATGTATTATGTTATTCCATATATACAACGACTTATTCAATACTCTTTCGCCTTCCGCTAATTAGCTTCTGGAGCCAAGTTTTACGCAGAAACAATCAAGAAACTCTTTGAAAACATAGCTATAATAATAAATCAGCATCAGCCAGTGGTCGAGACTCACTATGGTCCAGGGAAAATGATTAGAGTTATTGAGAGGTTGCAAGAGGAATGCGATAGGCAAAGTAGAATTATTCTGAATTCATTCATAGACGAGAGACATGTGCAGAGAAAGGTCGGGTTCAATTGACATCATTATTTTTCAATTATGACACAATCATGTTTTACTGACGTTGGTATGCGCTGTTCTGTGTGTAGGTATCTGACATTAGAGCATCGAATAATACTGCCAGACTCTCGTTCGCCTCCCAGAGATCAAACCAAGCAAAGGAAAACGATAACGCACCAGATCCAAGAGAGATTGATGCCATACTAGTCGAGCTGGCTACAATCAGTCAGAATACTCATTTATACTTTCAGTTCATAAGATCTAAAGTGAAGGTAAAAACATTAACATTAAGATACCACGTGTGCCTATTAGCATCTATAGAAATCTTACATCCCATGATAACGTCATTTTTCGCTCCTCCCAATGCTAGAGTGAACTCGATTTATTAAAAGTCCAAAAAAAGGATGCCGCATTTAACGTTGACGGGTTGTTCAATTCGAGTGGTCTGTGCAAACAACTTCGCGAGTTGATGGAAGACTACTTGCTAATTGAAGTATTCTATCTTCGGAGATCAATGAAGAAGGTAAGGCTATATTCAATTGTTATTGATGTTACTGATTTGCTAATCTTCTCATTAAAACATTGCTCGCGTGTTCAACCATACCACCAACAGGCAATGGCAATAGATGAGTACGATGAAAGCCATCGTACATCCAGTTGCGTCGACGATGTATTCTTTGTTATCAACCGATGTATTCAACGAGCAATCATGACTTCCGATGTCGATGTAATATCGTCATTTGCCAACAGTGTTAATCACTATCTGGAAACCGATTACACGAGCGTTATTCACAAACGACTGTCTACTCTATTCACATCCAATGATGCCGAAGACGCCCGCATCCGGTTCATGGTGAGTGAAAAACTATTGGGAAATAAAAAATGTTGATTTCATTACATCGCCGCACTTTGTTAATTGTTTGTTCTCGTCGTAGATACTGCTGAATAATCTTGATATGAGCTGTATTTACTTTCAAAGACTCTCGACTGAACTCCAACAAGACACATTGAGTAGTTTGACATCTCTTATTGCTGAGGAAGACATCGAAAAGATCCGTACATTGTTGGCATGGTTGGAAGACTCTGCAACCGGGAAATTTGGACAGATTTTAGAGGTACGCTAAATCGGACCACAATAGAACCAAATTTAAATATCAAACGTATATTCATGTAGTTTAGATTAATGTGACGGAATACTGACGACACTATGCATTGGTTGTTTATAGAGCGGATTAGATCAATTATTCGGACAAACGGTAAAACCACGTATCCGTCCATTACTACAAGAAGCATATCGTGATGTTAAATACGTTCTCGAAGAGGAAGAGTATCACGAATTGGAGGCAAACGACTTTTTCGGTAGAAGATTTGTCAATGGATTTAACAGTCTTCAACAGTTGTATAAAGTATGATTATAACAATTTATAGTTGGCGTGTGTAATTAAATGTTCTCATTTGTTCTTTTAATCCAACTGATTTATTCTGTGCATTTAGACCCGATTTACCAATAATAACTATAACCATATTATGACACTTATCATGGATTCAACTATTAATATGCTAGAAAAGACGATATCTGCTACCAAGTTTAATCAGGCAAGTGTAATAATCAAGCCACCATTCCGCTGCTATTAATTCACAAACACTTTTGCTAATGAGGTTTCTAACGCATCCAATCTTTAAACCAGCTGGGAGCTCTTCGATTTGACAAGGATTTACGTGCAGTGCTCAGCTACTTTACGAGAAACGTTCAGGGACCTGTGCGTGATAAATTTACACGTCTTAATCAGATTTCAATGCTGTTGAATCTCGAAGTGGTAAATTAATCAGTTAATAATGTTGTTACCAAAGTATAAAAGGCTTATTGTTCTAAATCTTATCAACTTTGTATTCACAGTTGTCGGAAATAAACGATTATTGGGGTTCAAGCAGTGGAGTTACTTGGCGGTTGACTGTTGCAGAAGTAAAAAAAGTTCTTGGGTTGAGGTAGGCCAAATTCTCCCTCTCTGAACTAAATCGTTTTCGCATTAAGCAAGATTCTAATGTAATTCTTACATATTTGGTAGAATCGATTTTAATCAACAAGAAGTTGCAAATCTCAAGCAGTAGTGTGGTATATAGATTAGAAGGAACCTGTTTATATTTATCAGGTCATCGACTACTTAGATTACTAGATCATGGTCAAAATGCTCGTTATAAATAGTAATAGTATAATTCATAATGGTAGACCCATAATCCATAAATTACTGGTACTTTTTAATTATATTAATCAAATCCATTCAAGAACTAAGCGTTCAAATATAGAAAAGAAGTATATTATAATGTTCACGCAAATGGAATGTCAAACTGGTAGTGTACACAGAATAAAGTGGACCAAGCTATTTTTATCCAAAGCTAACGCAAAGCAATCATATATAATTCGATCAACTGTATGTCGTCTCATGGTATTCTCACATCAAAGCAGATTATTCATAATTAGATGGCTAAATTGCTGTGAGATGTTATTAAACAATCCTAGTCTAATGAATAAGAAAGAACATGCGATTCTTTCCCTCTATACCCAGCACTCGTTTTCTAAATGTTCTTCCCAATAACCAATTTACTATTTTAACCTATTTTCCGTTACTTCCAGCATTCCCAATAGCATTCTTGCTGCCATCATTTTGATTGGTATCAAACAACACCGGATTTGAGACTTCACCCGGTCTAGGTGCCGATGCAGTCGACGGGGTATTTACCGATAAGGGAGGTGGAGGAGGAGAGGACGGCAGGTTTGAAGAAGAATCAAAACGACTGGTGCGAGGTAATTTGTTCGATGTTGCCTGTAATCGCTTGTCGAGAGCCTTTAGTGCTAGAGCTCTGGATTTTATATAGAAAGTGTCATTAAAGTTGAGGCGATTCTCTGGATTGTATGACGTTGGAATATATACTACGTTAAACTTACCTTCGTCTTTCAGCCTCCGCTCGTGCACTGCCAGGCATAGCTGGCGCTAATCTTGGATTATAACCTCCAAGGTCGTGACCAAGTCTCTTCCTTTGTATTGGTTTACAACATCTCAACATTACCAGAAAGTTAAATATTATCGAAGATACGACCTTCACTGGTGGTCTAAAAATATCAAGTCATTTAAAACCTGCCATGCAAGCAAATAACATCGATAACACAACGAACATGTAAAGATGTACATACTGAAGCATCTCGGGGAAGAAGCTTGCCAAAGAGAAAGTCTCACTCCGATCACCGCGTATACCATCTTGAACCTTGAAAAATCTTATGTAAGTCCAAGATATCAGCCAGCCGTACATGACCAGTAAAAATTGTGATTGGGCTTCGAATAATATGAAGAATATTAAACTCGTGATTATAAAAATGCTTGGAAAATGCTAAAAAATGAGACATAAAGGAGGGCTTTAATAAGTGATCAATCGTTTGGAAATTCCAGTATCAAGTATAATATCAAAACATACCTTTACTCGAATTGCTACGCTTCCTGAAAATACTTTGAATAAATGTTCGGGAATGAGTTGTTTATAAGAAACAAGAAATCCCTGGATTAGGCCAATCTGGCCATTTATTTGAGTTGCATATCTAGGGTGAGCAATAGTAGTAACAGTGTCAACGTTAATATCGTATTATAGTCGTATTGTTATGGCAATCAAGTATAACTTACAGATAAGCAATGTCTCCGGTTATATAATATTCAACAAGGTAAGTGAAGGAACTCGCCATATTAGCGCCAATGATCACAATAGCAACGAATTTCAAAAATTCTTTTGAGCCCCAAACACGTCCAAAGTATTTTCCAGCCGCAAGCATTGTTGTTGTACTCGCTACAAACTAAAACCGATAAGATCACATTGTAACAAACATCGATAACTGTGCGTAATTCAAGTCTGTATTTTACATTCAATGTAACTAATTCTCTATCAACTTTTCTCTACAATCCTTAATATTCATCTCGAAATCTACTCACACTAGTCAAACTCGTCTCTAAAAATCCAGCCGTGACAAAAGTCCAGAAATTCCATATAGCAGTACCAGGAATTATTGCTATACCATTTAGATAAGGGTCGGATTCAGGGTATTCGGAATCTGATGACCATCGATGCACGCGTATTATTCCTCCGAGGGCGGATGTAAATACATTTAATAAGGCTAGGAACTTTACCGTTTGGGGTATGTTTGAGAGTGTTATCTGGAAAGACGGAAGTGTGATGGGAAAGAAAGAGTTCGAGAGCAATAATGAATAAATATCAAGGAAGAATAACGAGAGCGGAACACTTAAGAAATTATGAATAAATCAGACATATTTGTCTAACGGCGTCAAAGAGATTCGAATTTTACTCACCCGCCACTTGGTCATTTTTATCAAAAGAGAACAAATACTAATACTGCAATAAAATGTTGGATTCATGAAATTCTCGGCAACCAATTGTGAGAAAGCACGTTGGTTATCACTAACTGAATGAAGGCATGGTACGATGCAGCGACGATCGTCCACTGGCACGTGAAAATGTCGCACCATTCCTTGGTAAGTAAAAAACTCTGTGGGGATTGTTTTTATACCGCAAAAGATCGTCATTTATAACGCGGATGCCTAATGTATAAAATGAGCATAAAAGGTAGCACCACAGAAATGATTCAAAGGATTGTCATTCGCACTTTTAATTTGACGCTTGGGAGCGGTAGACGACAAAAGTATTAAACAATAGAAGTCTCAGCGGGAATGTACCTGCTTGCGCTGAAACACCTTACGCAGAAAAGAATTTGCGTGTCTCACCCTACAACGCATTGTGTTCATAATAATGACTCTCAAAGCGTGTAAACGGTGCTAATCTCTTCGACGACCGAATTATGTGTTTGTAGCATTCTCAAATTCCAACTCTGATTTACACGTTGTCGCGCAGGAAATAGGGTAAGAGCCCTAAAAACGAAACAACTTTGGATATCTGCGTATAAACCCGATTATCTCGGATGAGCAATGTGGATGAGAATGCGTTGTTCACGTTCCAAATTTTGGATTAGACCGGTTTGTAAGAAAAAACGCCCAGAACACTAAGCGTAAGAACCGTGCCTGACTGAATATACAGAAGCTTTCTCTTTAAAGTATAATTTTAATGACTAGCAATATTAGTGATCTGTATCCTATAGATTAATGTAGTCGATATTTCAAACCTCCCGCGGTAGCGTAAATTCAACATATTCGGTTTCGATAAGCACTGAAACCAAAACGTGTGAAATAAAGAGGTTGCAAAAATAAAGTTGTGTTTAGCCCTTAACCACAAATAAATTAACCAGTTTCCAAGTGCAAAGTGCAAAGTGAATTTAATTATGGGTACTCTCATCAGCTTACCTCCCCTGACAGATTTGGCAGGTAGGTAAGTTAAAAAGTGCTCATAAGCTCTTGCCAAATGAAGTGGAAAGATTTCTTTATTGTTTGATAAGTTGTACATATCATAGAATAAGATTGTAGTAGAGACAATAGTACGATCGCTGTCAATTACTATTTATAGTACCTCCCCTCTCCCCTACAGTGAATTTGTTTGACTATTATCATATTGAAATAGATAATTACAGGGTAAGATATTCTAACTTCAAACAAAGATCTTTGGCAAGTGCATTACCGCCATGGATGGAATTTTGCATGTCGAGTCCCACTTTCAAATCCCGTCCCGTGACTGTTGGAGTAAATTTAGTGGTGTTTACTACTACCAAGTTTCTTCTGCAGACTGGTGATTTAATAATGTCTTTAGCTTTTTTGATGTTGACATTGTATTTCGAGTAATTGGACAACTAATCCATAATTTTTACTGCATAGATAACATATTTATACTTGAAGGACGCAGATACTACTCTCCATTTGCACATACCGCTCTTCTCCTCTCTTCTCCAAAGCGCAAATACAACGTTACTTGAATACACAATGAACAAACCTTTGCCGCCACTCCACATTCCGCACGTACGACAGTTCGCTACAACTCACGAACAAGTCCTCAAGCAACGACGACACAATTTATCGACCACATAACCGATGAAAGAGATCGAACACGCGTCTACTCATATATATATATAGTATGTATTCCCAGACGCTTCTCTCCATTGCATATGTATCACCACAGTTCACCAAAGGGCAATCACAACGTTACTTAAATGTACAACAAACCTTGCTGCCAATTCCATATTACGCACATGTGCTACAATGTCACGCACGGTTTATCGCAATAACTGACAAAATTTTGCACAAGAGCGAGCATTCGGCCTTATTATCAACGTGTACCACACCGAGTAGAATAATAATGTGATAAAAAGTTTGGGAGAAGTTATATTGTACCGTACGTGGGTGGTCGAAAGTTTTGATCGTCTAATTTTTACTTAAAAAGGAAATGCAGTAGAAAAACTTTAAAAGATCAAAATAAAGTGCGTGTTCGAAACTTTGCTTGAAAAAAAAACCCAACTGTATTACAATTTCCTTATTGGTTCTTGAGAAATTTAATTTTAAAAATTCGACATCAAAACCACTGGCTTCAATTACCAATGTGCTTACTGGGAGAGCTCATCAACCTTGTCACATACATGAGGTAATGATGTTACTTCAATCATGACAGTTAGGCGGTGGATGAATAATTTGACAATGGACAAAAAAAATACTATGCTCAGAGGCTGTAATCAGAAGTAGTCATTATATAACAATACGTAAATTAGAAAAAAAAAAATAGGAATTGTCATTATAGGTAACAAACATTTAACCAAATGTAAAACGTCATGTTTTATTGTGATAACGCACCACTGCCACATAAGCATCACTCAGTCATAAACTTTTTACAACAGAGGAAGTCTTACAGTTTAGATTTGTTTCCCTGTAACTTTTTCTTATTGCCAAGCTAAAAAAGAGCAGGCGGAAAGAGTTATAACAGTGTTAATTATCTGAATTGTTGGTTTCCAGGCAATTGTTGAGAGCAATCCAAAAGAAGATTATTGTAAATTCTTCAAGAACTGGAAGGGACGGCTGTAACGGCTAAAAAAACTATTTTGGAGGCTTGCGTAAAATTTTTGAAACAAATTATTATTTACGTTTGTGAAATAAAGTCGCGTGATCAAAACTTTTCGACCACACGTACGTTTATTAACTTATTCAGATATTCGACGTCTTTTCAACAAACAGGTAGTCAATAAAATAAATAATCACGTCATGAAATAACCAACCAATTATCATAATATATATTATACTGCTTAGAAGTTATCTCAATTTCGACACATAATTTCATTCTTTGACAATTCGAACTGCAAGTCTACTCGGCGTATTCGTCAACGCTAGTCCAATACTGGAGAACTGGAAATACAATTCTCGAGAACTGGAAATACAATTCTCTTTTAATAGCCAAGCGATCTAACATATACGTCTCCCAGCTACTAAAAAAACGGGTTGAACCTTTCTTACGGAAAAAACGTGACGAAGCCCCGACTTTAGCATGAGGGTAAGTAGCCTTTAGCCCATTATTGAGAATAAAGTTACAGGAAAACGTTAGATAGACAAGAAAGAGTTATTCAATTATTTATAAGTATTAGATATGAACTTGCTCATGTATTTTATTTTACAAACTACTCGGCCTTCAGTTATACGTAGTCAAATATAAAAAGTTTATGCATAATAACTGTTGCAGGCAGAATCTTTATTTCTGAAAGTAAAACTTGCAGTCTTAACAGTCGTCGTATGTGAGACATATGAGAAACCACATTCTACCAACAGAAACTCAAAACACCAACCGTAAGTAGCAACATTATACATTAAGACAATACCGTTGAAAATAGACCTTCGAAAGTTACAATAAAGACACCTTAGCTTTAGTACAAAAAAGTGTTGCTTGGTGTAAAAGTCAACGTATAGTAAGTAAAGAGCTTGCTGTTGGTAGCAATAAAAGTCCAAAAAGCGGAGATTTAGGTTTGCTTAAGAACGGTTCAATAGTCAGCTATTAGGAACTTTTTTTTTATAATTTAGGACTTTATTCTCTCTTGCGGATTGCATGTTACAAATCGATACAGATAATAATCAATATTACTATGCCAAAGTCATATTGCTGATCCATAATCCGTAAAACTCGTTAAACCTTCGATAAAGATAAGAGAAAGTTTTTTCAACCCAAACCATTTTTTATATTAATACGTTCTTTGTAAAAAATTTATATAAAAAATGTTACGCTCGATATAAGAGCGAACCAATAATAACAAGCTTTTAAATAGCTCCACTCTGACGGAAATAAACCCTGCCCTACATAATGCAATCCTGCAACTCATCGAATAAACAACCTGAAGCGAAAAAATAAAGAAGCTCGCAAAACAACAAGGACAACGTTAACAAGAAACCAAAAGGCAATAACTTATTGTCTGGTTCGAAAAATTTGCGTAATCGGAATTGAGAAAGGTCGTCGGTCAATGTTTCACAGCTGAAACTTAAAACATTATGTTAGTTTTTTTTTGTTTGCGACATTACGTCAGTTCGTCTCAGAAACTGGGTCAATTTTTATGACTATTGCGTCCTGGAGCGATAAAATTACCTAGCTAATACTTCTTCATCGTCTCCAGGACATGTTTGTCTCAATATAGGATCAGCATCAACAACGATAAGTGTTGTAAAAATATGAAACTCCGTGCTAAAGTGTTCGGAATCAATACAACAAAAGTGAATTGTTGATTGAAAATACAGTACACAGGCAAACTCGATAAGTCGGTCATGTATGATGGACCGACTTATCGAGAGAACCGACTTATCGAGAGATTT